CTTGCTGCGTGTACTGCGTTAGGCTAACCGAGACTTGTCATTTGCACTTATATATTGTTGCTCTTTTGTTAGTTTTGACTGCTTTTATTGTCCTCATTTGTAAGTCGCTTTGGATAAAAGCGTCTGCTAAATGTAAATGTAAATATATGGCCTATATTACATATTCATTAGATTTTCTACCTTATATTATATTTTTACCTGTTAATGTCTCATTGCATTTTTGAAAAGTCGTGAAAACAATTATAGCCATCATTTAAAGATTCATATTTCATCTTAATTTCAACGATGAATTGAAGTAAAAACATCCTTTAAAATTTATAATTTGTGACGTTTAAATCTTTTTGAGTGTTGATTTATTAAATACATTTAATGAATTGATTTTTAAATACACTTTATTTCTTATTCACATTTAAATGGGAAGCTGAATAGTTGGTTTTCAGCCAAATGCAAACTTATTTTCATGCATCAGTTTAAACCATCCCTCCATCATTTCATCCAAAAGTCTATTGTAACTAAGGAATGTTTAGTGCAAGAAATCCAATGTAAGTGTACCAGCCTTTTTGAAGTGTGGATCCACTTTAAGTACTCTTGTATGTGAATACTACAGGAGCTGTGAAGTACCTGGAATGCTCAGCCTTAACGCAACGCGGCCTTAAGACGGTGTTCGATGAAGCCATCCGTGCGGTCCTGTGTCCGCCCCCAGTCAAGAAAGGAAAGAGGAGGTGTTTTATCCTCTGAACTGACTGTACTCACAGCACCAGCTACAATCTGTGCTCACCTGAGAGGAGAACAGTGGAGGCGGGGATGATGGGAAATGTGTGTTGGGGAAGAAGAACGAGTCTGCACAGTGTATCGGTACAGATATTTCTCCCTCTTGCATTTTATTTAGAATTGCACCACTAAATAGCTGTTAAGATGCCAGATTATTTGCTTCCGAGTGATTAGGAGTGGCATCCATAGTTGTTTTACTTCCCGTACAGTAAGACATTCCTGCTGCCTTCTAATGATCTCCTTTATATTCCCCTCATTCTGATGAACTAAATACTTTTTTTCAGTGTATTTATTTCTCCATCTTTGTGAGCCCATATATTTTGTTTACTATCTGTTTTTATAGAAAATGAATTATTGCCAAACGTTAAACCCACATGGATTTCAATTTGCTCACACTAACAGTCTAATTTTTCCTAAAGGGTGGGGGGTGTTAATCATGCATACTTGTAAGAGACCGAGATCGCAGTAATGTTGAAGGAACTATTTTACAAGAGGACAGCTTAAGTAAACACTATTTTTTGGTTCCTGTGTTACGGTTTCCATGCTAGATTGTTTATTTTGTTTAACTGTATAAGAAACAAACCTAGTTAAAATGCATATAACAGCTTTGTTTTGTCAGCATATAGCATATTTTCACTACTGTATCTGAATATTCAGAAGGGCATATCTCTTGTTTAATCTCTCTCTGTATTTGGACAGTGTTTTAACCATTTTACAGTCCCAGTATTGTATTTAGACTACAGATCTACCAGTGCCTAGTATCAGACCAGGGTTTCATTGCGAAGCTGAGCATGTCGGAAGTTTCTGTACTGTAGACGCCTCAACACTACGGCATGGGGTTCATATTCTTGAAAGATCCCCTTGAAGACTGCTATATGTATAAACCCTTTGTTGTAAGGGTACAGACATTAAGTATTAAACTTCTAATTGGATTTCAGACATGGTTCAAGACGAAATGGTTGGAATTTGCCACATGGAATTTTTAATTTTGACACATCTGTAACTTTTAAAATGCTTTATTCATGCTTTTATTGTCTCCACTAAAGCTACAATGCATTAACCTTTATGTCTGAAAATAGAAACAAAATATAAAAACATTTGTCTTTGTTCTTCATTTTCCATGTACACTTTATGGACAAAAGTATTGGGTATAAACAGGTTTGACTACTTGAGTAATTTCCATGAGTACATATCTTAATGTTTAAGCATATTATGATATTCTAGGGAATTGTGTGATTCCAATTTTATAGCAACAGTTTGGACCGGACCCTTTTCTATTCTAACATGACAATGCCTCTGTGTATAAGGCAAGGTTCAAAAAGAAATTGATTCAGTCAGTGTGGAAGAACTTGACTGGTCCTAATCCCAGCTGAACACCTCTGGTGTGACTTTAAATGCAGACCTTGAGCCAAAAAATCATCACCAAACACCAACTTGTACATATGGGTACAGTCATTTTAGACACTTCCAAAACCATTGCAATAGAGATGGAAATACAATTTTTAAATACATGAATTATGTTTCCATCTTTATTGCCACAGTTTTGGAAATGCCTTTTTCTTTTCTAAAGAAGGGGGTGTCCCAATACTTTAGTAGACCAACCCAGAAGTTAGCATCACCTTGGTTCTCTCAACCATAATCCAGTAGGGTTTTTCTATTGGCTTTTGGATTATTGCAGAAAATAAGTTGCCCCCGACAACCTCTTGTTAGCAACTGCTTTTTTCAAGACAAGAAAAAGCTTTCAAAACAATCACAAAGGGGTATTACTAATGTATTTTATGTTGTAGAATAAAATGTGAAATGTCTTGAGCTTGTATTAACTGCAGACCTTATTTCAGGCATTTAACCAAAAATCCATTTAAAATAAACCCATCGACTTTGGGGCAACAGAACCAGAAGTGCTCAAATGCTAACTCATTTCTAGGTTTTGGCCAACAAAAATACATCATCCCTACATTTTTTAACACATATTGTAGCATCATTAATAGAGTGATATTAATGATGCTACAATACGTGTTAAAAAAATGTAGTGTTACTTTTTTCAGACTAAAAGTACTTTACTGATTATTTCTTTTAACTGTAAATTGTGAGAGCAGTTTTTTTTCTCATAATTATTTATCAGGGTAAAGACACTACCACCATGGCAGACGAGACGATTGTGAAATCAGCAGAGGAAGCTGTGCTGGTTAGTTCTTCAATGTTCACTGTTCCACTTCTCCAGCACAAGTTTGGCTGAGACAGCATCTTGTATCCCCATTCCTGCATTTAAAAATTCAAAATATCCAGCTAGTCATGACAGCTTTGCTTCCACTGACACTAACAAGGACTAATTAGTGCTTTCTAAGAAACATCAGGAGATAACAATGAACAAATTCCACATGACATTCCCAAATTTTCATTACAGCTGGCTGAAGATCAGCAGGGTTTTTTAAAGCTTGCATAATAAAAGTTATAAATAGATATTTCCTTTTTGTCTGGAGAGGGCTGAAATGCAAACACCAAGCTTTTTAAGGCACATTCTGCTACTATGACTTTCTATCAGTGGTAAGAATGCCCCCCCTTTTATCTTCAGTACATCTTGTTCTTGATTTTTGGATCATAGCTGTGGAAAAACAAGTTACCCAGTGACTTGAATACTGTAGTCTTCTCACGCTGAGCAGGAAAGGATCCATTTATAACTTCTCCGAGCTCTGCGAATACTTCAGCCTGGGTAAATAATGAGCATGTAAACTATTTAGGAATTTGGGTGTACGTACTGTATGTATGACTCGAATAATTGTTGGTGAAATCAGCTATATTTTATTAATGGTAAGTAATGCATACTCCAGACAGAATGATGTCTCCTGACTCTGCTGTCGCCCCCTCTCTGCTGTCCACATACACCACAGCCTCTCTCATCAAGACATCATCCAGTTCCCTCCAGTCTGGCCGACAAGCGCCAACCGCTGTCACAAAACAGATAAATACACAATGTAGTAACTATCATGTTGACTTGTTGAGGCTGTTCATTAGCTGCATTGACCAACAGTTAGCCTCAGACGTCACGCCCACAGACCGTTGGCAGAACGACTGATGCATACAGTAGTGTTGTTGGGTCATTCTTGAACGATTCGTTCATTTTGAACGAATCTTTAATGTGACTCGGGAAGAACGAGTCGTCTCGGGGAGTGATTCGTTCAGTCGCGCATGCGCAACATCCTATAGGTTCTGTACTGGAATTAGTCAAGTAGTTCACCTGTTTCGAGTCTTCGGGTTTTTCCGAGTCATTCGTTCATTACGTGACAGACCCATAAGTTTAACCAATGCAGTCTGAGCCGGAAAGAGATTTTTTGTTTGTTTTTTTTGTTTACACTTTATTGAACAATATGAACTTTACAACCATAAATGGCCTGGTACAAAATGCTACATTTCTTATTCAGACAACAGACAAGCATCATAACGTAAGGAGAAGAGGAAGAAAAAGAAAAAGAAAAAGAGAAAAAAGAAAAGAAAAGAAAAGAAAAAAAAAATTATATATATACACTAGGGGTTTTCAGGAAGTTTAATATTTTCTATTAAATTACAGAAAATTAAGGCATTCTTTTTCTTCATTCGTTTCAGCGACAAAAAGTAATGACATAGTTCCTTGTGAAATACGTAGAAATTTGGAAGAATTTTCAGGAATCTGTTCTTATGCAAAAAGAACTTCCCAAGAATAATAATAGTGTTAATTGCTAAATCATGTGTTTCATCTTTCAAAAATAAACCGAATAATACATTTTCTTTTGTTAAAACATGTCAATTTTCAAATTTAGGAAATAACCAGTAATGCATATCTTCCCAAAAGGCACAGGCAAATTTACAATCATAAAAAAGATGTTCTGTAGTTTCAATTTGATCATCACAAAAGGAACAGTTGTTAACGTCAAGACCAAATCGACGTCTCAAAAATTCTCTAGAAGGATATACTCCATTAATAATTTTAAAATGGACTTCCTTCGCTTTTGGTGCAACTGGAAATTTCAAATATTTTGTTCTTAAAATTTTAACTTCATCCTTAGAGAAATATTGGAATATTAAATTTTTTTTTTGAAGAGAAGGGATATAGTTCATTAACAAAAACATTCCGGATTAGGAAAGAGAATTGATTAGTTCATCTCTCCAGTCTTCGGGTTTTTCTAGTTGTTTGTTCATCACGTGACAGACCCATAAGCTTAACCTATGCAGTCTGAGCCGGAAAGAGACTTAAAGGGGTCATATGATGCGATTTCAATTTTTCCTTTCTCTTTGGAGTGTTACAAGCTCTTGGTGCATAAAGAAGATCTGTAAAGTTGCAAAGACTAAAGTCTCAAAACCAAACCCCCTCACGAAAGAGGAAAGCCGTCGTGCTTACAACTGTGACGACGAGCGCTTATCAGGATCAACTAAACGCTGCATTTTCAAAAGTATGTGAAAAATTTAAAGTTCGCGACATAGAATCTTTAAAATACATCCGAGAGTTTTAGTTTTACACACCGGTCTGTGAACGAAACGAACTGTGATTGGTTGTTTGACATGTCGGTCAAACGGCCTCATAGGCGGGCCTAGGCCAATGAAAGCTGCCATGGATTCCAGACGTTCAGCCGTTATGGCGTTATTTTAATGACAAATGTCGAGAGCGCATTATTGTAGCGCGAAAGCACATAAATATAATGTGCGAGATATATAAAGAATCTCTCCGCTCGCACGCGGATTTCCTTTGCTCTCGCCCAGAGAGAGTGCGCGCACTGCGCTCTTGACATGTGTCATTAAAATAACGCCATAGCCGTCAGTCTGAAGGCCTGGCTACGCGAGACTAACCAACAGTAAGCAGCTTGGTTTGAAAGGGACTGTAGCTGTGCTTCATTAATAGCTAATTATGGATCGTTTTTGCCTTTGCAGTTCCTCTGAAATGATGCTCATGTAACTGCATCTGAACGGTATCTTTTAGTCATGACTATATTCTAAGTATAACACAGCCTCTTGTACCTTATTGGTTAAATATCTCACAAAATATTGTAAATCTGTGGACCAGCTGACCTGCTATGTGTGCACCTGGTTTGACCCACTCGCCAAAGAGTATCGGCTGACTTGCACCTGTGGCAGTCACTATTACATCAGCTCCTATCACGGCCTCCTTCACCGAAGAACAAACTGTTACAGGATCTTGGAGATCATTAACAAACCGTTGAGCCATTTCTTTCCTTCTGCTCCACACACGGACCTGAAGTGAATACAACACTGGATTACACACATACACACACAAAAACCGTTTTAAATGACTTGGACGTATTTGCTATTTTCATACTGGTTACCTCTTTGAACTTGAAGAGCTTTGTAAAGACATCATAGTGGCTTCTAGCCTGCTGCCCTGAACCAAGGATGCACAACACTTCTGAAAGAGCTGGCTTGAACAGCTGGAGAGAGAAAAACATTCAGATTAAGTGACTTTATATATTAGCTTAAATCATTACAAATTCGGGGTCTGTTTCAGAGGAACCTACTTTAGCTGATATGGCTGATACTGCTGCAGTTCGTTTGGCTGTGATGGCCTCCCCATCCATGATCTAACATTAGAAATACAGTTACAGAACTAAATCATATATATATATATATATATACTAATGTTTTTTTAAAGAATTCTCTTCAGCTCACCAAGCCTGCATTTATTTGATCCAAAATACAGCAAAAGCAGTAATATTGTGAAATATTTTACTATTTCAAATATCAGCTTTCTAATGACTATATTTTAATGTAATTTATTGTAATTTGTCATTTATTGAAATGTAATTTATTCATGTGATCAAAGCTACATTTTCAGCATCATTACTGCAGTCTTTAGTGTCACATGATCCTTCAGAAATCATTCTGATTTGCTGTTCAAGAAACTATTATTATTATTGTTGTTTTTGTTGTTATCATCGATATTTAAAACAGCGGAGTACATTTTTTCAGGATTCTTTGATGAATAGAAAGATCCAAAGATCAGCATTTATCTGAATTAAAAAGCTTTTGTAACATTATACAGTATACCATTACTATTTAGCAAGGATGCTTTAAATGGATCAATGATAATAAAGACATTTAGAATGTTAAGATTTCTATTTCAGATAAATGCTGTTCTTCTGAACTTTCTATTCAAGAAACCTGAAAAAAATTCTACTCAGCTGTTTTCACCATAATAATAATAATAATAAATGTTTTTGAGCAGCAAATCAGAATATTCGAATGATTTCTGAAGGATCGTGTGACGGGAGTAATGACGCTAAAAATTCAGCCTTGAAATCACAGGAATAAATTACATCTTAAACTTTTGTAAACCAAATCAAAGTCATGTGGTCCAAACAAAAATATTAAATAAAACAGGAAATGACATCACAGAGATATTTGTACTGTAGACTCTTATACGTTATTGGCCCAGATAACAATTTAGTAAATCCCAGACATGAACAGATGTGCATCGGAGATGATGGTAAACTGTCTGCCAAATAAATCAGGTTTGTGTGGCTCACCGCTGTCACATTTCCATGCTCGGGATGAAAGAGTAACACAGTTGCTTGAATTGATGGTAAACTGGATCCCTCTGCACGCTGGTAGAAAGTCACCATCTTAGTGCATAAAATACCCTCAGCGGCCAAATATGCAGGCATAACGCCCAAAAACCTGAAAAATGCAGCAAGGGTTTATTCCTATGGGTCTATGTCAGTAAGCGATCGTGATATTTAGAGATATGGATTTATTCATACCCATTGTGTTGTTGTATAGGGACCACAGATCTCACAGGCTGGATTATTTCTGAACTGTCCCGTTTAGAAAACTTTCCCATGACAGACTCCAGTCTGGGAATCAGATCATCATAAGTGAGCAAACGCTCGACCTCATGTTTGTTTAATAAAACGGGAGACTCGCTCATAGTTTTTTTCACCTGTCTGTCGGTCCTGCTATCAAAGACTTCTGTTTGTCGTGGACTTTAGTTTCTCAGTCACGTGGTTCACTGGCGTCAAATGAGCAGTTTCCTTCTCTTTGTATCTAAATAAAAACTTCATACAAAACTACAAAAAATTGAAATAATTTTGAATTGTGGGTTTAAATGGTGTAGGCATGACGATTACTCATCGTCTTATTAAATGCGCACAAATCTACATATTATTACAAAAGTAAACAGAATGTGACGTCACCTTTTATTTATATTTTTCATATTTTTTTATTATTAGTATCTCACTGGCTGGCAATTGCCATCTATCGTCAAAGATATGTAACAAAATATATAAACAATGTAAATGTAGTGTAAAAATCATAATAATAAAAAAAATTGCTTTATGTTGCTATAGGCATCAGCTAAATGTGTTGAACTGATGATCATCTTATTGGCAGTAAGATTAAATGTCTCATGTTTGTTGACTTTCATTTCAGATGACTGAAATTTAACAACCTTTAGCTGTTACGTGGAAAAATTAAGTACTACATAATCAACTACATATATCAGTATTCAATTTATATACCCAATTTTTCGTGCACAATACTCTCAAACCATTCTTCCTTTTTCCCCAAACGAACAAGCTTAGCTTAATTAAATCTCTAAATTTCACTAAAAATGTGAAGTATACTTTTACTAAAGCGAACTGCATAGTTTAAAAATGCATGATCTGCTTTCATTTGTACACATCTGACAGTATTTATTGCAGTTTTATATTCTGCATTGGGTAACAACAGAAAAATGGCAGAATATTTCATTCCATTTAAAAAATGCCAATGTATTAATGTTATACATGCAGTATGTGCATCTATCAAATATAAAGAACCCACACAAATCATCATTTGATTTGAACCAAACTTTATTTCGGCTGTCAATTGCTGAGGAACACACTCAACATTGTTTGATTCTAACAAAAAGGGGGAAAAAACCTTAGGGATTGTACAAAAAGATCATTTATAAAACCTGAAAACAAAAGTGTAAAAAGTATGAGCTCAAACTAGGAGTCTTTCAATAGCCATCTGCACAGACTGAATCTGAGGTTTCAGCTGCGATCCCTCCTTGATGGTGACTGATGTGGCAATGACAGGTCTTGACACTCCACATGCACGTCCGAGAGCTTGTTTAGAGCGCACAAACACATACGGCACGTTCTTATCCTCACACAGCAGCGGCAGGTGCAGGATGATCTCCAGAGGTTCGGCATCAGCCGCCATCACAATGAACTCAGAAATCCCACGGTTAAGAGTTTTGGTGGCTGTGGAAGACAATAACAATCAGAGTTGGCAAAAGTGTCATTTACAATATGTAGATAATCAGGTGAACTTATACTTAAGTTATTCATTTTGGTGATTAAAGCTTTGTTTTGTCTTTGTTCCCCATTCTCAATAACCACACAGCTTGAAAGAACAAGTTCTAAAGGGGTAACATACAGCTGGGTTTTTAATAAATTTGGCTGTCTATGCAGTAGAAATGCTACTGCTTTTAATCTGTGCTACATGACTAGAGAAAAGAGCAAAAGGGCTGTGGGGGAAAAAAGGGAAGTAAACTTCAACACCCACAATGCACCTAGCAATAAGGCAGAAGATTTTAATAAAAGCTCTGGAGCGGTCAATTTTGCAGAATGTTTTACGTCATCCAGTGGACTTTCGCTGACAAAAAACAAGGACATCTTGATGCAGGTAACATGGAATAATACACAATTTTCATTTACTTAAGACAGTTGACACTGTAACAACACAAAGCTGGTTGAAAATCAGTGAACGTACCCTTTAAAGATAAGAAAATGTCAAAATATTATGAACAGATACATAAAATTAAAAACATAATAAATTACTGTTATCAATAACCACAGACTGTATAAAAACATGGACGTAGTGTCCGTGACGTCACCCGTAGATTTCCGAAGAGCGTTTTTGAAGCTCAAA